AACCAGGGAAGACCTATTTGGAACACATATTCCAATGTATCGAAAACTGTGCTTGCGGAGCCGGCAGTGAGGCTGGGGAGCAACCTGGGCCAGGCCTGGAGTCTGGGGAAGGCTCTGTGTCGGAGGCAGAGAGGGGGCCAGGGCTGTCTGACAGTTATCAGCTGCCTTCGGAGTCGGGGATCAGTGAGGCAGAAGAACAGCTGAAGCCTGTTCCCAGTGTGTGCATGAACAGACAAAGGGAACAGCTAAAGAACAGGGGTCTTGGGAGTAAGGCCACAGGTGGACGATGAATGGCCCCTCCCAGAGGAAATAAAAGAGGAACGAAAGGGGAGGGGACTTTGCAGGAGGCAATTTGTTCATTTGTTTCAGGAGTGTGAAAATCTGTCCGTGAATCTCAGAGACTCTGTGCCCAGCCTTTCCTCGCACAGCACCTCATTTTGAAAATATTTGCCTGGCAGCTTTCCAAGCAAGATAAGGTCTGTGGTCATAAATACTCCTTTGAAAGACCTCCGCTGAATGTGAATGGGAGGAATTCACATTCATTTAATAACAAAGGTTTTGTCGGGACCAGGAATCTGCTTCGTGCTTTTGGGTGAGGCCTAGGTCAGAACACTGGGGTGTTATCTTACCTTGAGCTTGCATTCGTGTCCGTACCAAAGCAAGGGGGTAGCTGGCCAATTGCCCACAAGTGCTTGACATGGTACCACAGGCCAACAGGACGAAGACCCCTGGATCTGCACTGTTCACGGCGTAATGTTGCAACCAGCTGTTTTTCAACGTCTAGAAGGAAACCATCAACAGTCAACGGAGAGCCAACTTGGTTCAAGAACCTTGAACTTGAGCAAATGCCATTTGGCACGGAGCGGTTAAGGCTTCAGAGAGAAGCTGGAGCCGAAGACCGCTAGGCCTTCTGTTTGGGGGTTTTGAGGGCCACCAACCACCATCTCAAGAACCTCTGTTCCTTGCCAGAGAGAAGAGCCACATGGCTTACCTCGTAAACGGCCAGGTCAATCCCAGCATACGGAATGATCCCCAGCATGTTGGGAACGTAGCCCTTGTAGAAAGCACCTAGTCCTTCTTTGGCAAGGATGTTCTTCGCACAGTCCAGCATCCCTGTGTACTGCCCAGTTTTACGCAGGGCCATCCGGGTTTTCAGAACCTACGCCAACGAGAGGAAGAGTTGTGAGAAATCTAGGCAGGAGGGAGACGGGGAACACCACCACCTCTGGGTCGGATGCACAGAAGATTTCACTGCCAAGGAAGAGCAAGGGAGAGGTAGAGGTGTACCAATATCTCTGATGAAGAAAGCCCTGGAGAACGTCAAGAGGGAAGGTTGAATGTCCTCAAACCATCTTCCCCAATCTGCCTCCCACCCTCCAGTCTTCTAGTCTCTGTTATTTTTCACAGCATGATCAACAATGCTGTCCATCTAAGGTCAGGGGTTTCCAAACTTGGGATCTTCAAGACTTATGGACTTCAACTCCCAAAATTCCTTAACCGGCTGAGGAATTTTGGGAAGTTGAAGTCCACAAGTCTTAAAAGTTGCCAAGTGTGGAGACCTCGGATCAAGATGGCAGCAGATCGGGGGGGTCAGCTTCTTCAGATCTTCAACCTCCAGCCAAGTTTGAAACCGTGCCCAGGAGAGCAAAGAAGAGAAGGCAACTCACCTCCATGGGGTAAATGCTGCTCTGTGCAATGGCTCCAGCCAATGAACCGGCCACCAGCCTCTCGTGAATCCTCAAGACCTCTTGGTCTGTTGCGATGAAACGTTTGATCTGCAGAGAAAGGTGTTCCATGCTTAGCCTGGAGAAGTCTACATGAGCCACAGTAGCACGGTGGTTAGAGTGCAGTACTGCAGGCTATTTCTGCTGACTGACTGCAATTTGGCAGTTTGAATCTCACCAGGCTCAAGGTTGTTGACTCAGCCTTCTGAGGTCGGTAAAATGAGGACCTAGATTGCTGACTCTGTAAACTGCTTAGAGAGCTGTAAAGCACTGTGAAGGGGTATATAAGTCTGTGCTATTGCTATCTATCTATCTATCTATCTATCTATCTATCTATCTATCTATCTATCTATCTATCTATCTATCT